CTGTCTATATATATATATATATATATATATATATATATATATATATATGTGTGTGTGTGTGTCTGCCAGTGGGACAGTGGTATGTTTATGGTCGACATAGCAGATAGCCTAGTGTGACTTTGCTCTAACACAAACAATCAACAAACTCTTTCAGATATGTAATATTAACTGTCAGTTGCAGTAAATACAGTGGAAGTCGAAGTTATAATAATTAAAAATTTTCAATTATTTAGTATTGTTTCTATTTAATCACTCATTAACAAGGATTTATCTTTACAATATTATATCTAGAACTTCAAACTCTGATGTGTACATTTCCTAATTATAACGTCACCAGTATGTACAAATGGATCTCTCAACAAATAGACTTGAAAGATCTGATACAAGAGGTGAGTTATATAAAGCTCTACAATTTGGTCTCTGTAGAGCTTTTAGATAAGTAGATAACGTTTATACTTAAACTTCATTATTAAAAAGATAAAATACTATCTTTCACTTCAAAAAGCATAATTGGTTTTATTTAGGCAACATTTCATCATTACAGCTTTATCAGGGCAAAAAAAAGATGCTTGCTAACTGAGTCAGGCTTAAACAAAAGATTTCAAAATAATTCTAGTTTATGTAATAAGGCGGAGAATATATAAACATAAATATTGTAAAATTATATTGTTATACATTGTGAAATTTAAAGTACATGCAAACAGTCAAAATTATACTATATAAAGCACATATAATATATGCTATTATACTAATTAAGTATAAACAGTAATAGTTAAAAATTCCAGGGTGACTTTAACTGTGGCTTATTCTCTGAAACTAATAGGGCTTCTTTTTATTTTCTATCTAAGAAACTTTGACAATTGGTAAGAATATTATACCATTGTTGTCAACAAAATGTTCAGCTACAGTGCTGGCTTTGCTGTCAATGTGTGTATAACTTAAAGGTGTTTGTTAATTCTATCCCTAGTAGCTCTACCTGTTTCACCAATGTCTACAAAACTACAAAGTTTGCATATCAAATTATACACTGCATTCTTATGGTTACAGTTGCCTCTTAAACCTAATTTACACCCTAGTTGACCCAGATGATCACACTTTGTCTAGTCTTAGTCCATGGATGTTGTCTTATAATAGTCTTAGTCTAAATGATAAAAATGTTCAGACATTTTAGTCATGTTTTAATTTTTTGTATAATGTTTAAAGATACAGTCTGAACATTGGTGTCATTTCATAAAAAAATGTAAATAATCAAATCATAAAAAATGAAGAGTTACTGAAATAGCATTTTACTCTGTTAGTTTATCATACTGCAGCAGAATGTGTTAAGTACTTTAGCATGAACCAAAATGTTTTCTCCAAAAACTCAGGTCATTTAGATAGCTAAGTTGTCAGAAAATGAGCAGATTAATCAAGTGTTAACCTATGTTATAGATTCAGAGACCTACCAATATTAATAAATATTAGAAATGAACAGTTGAACAAAAAAAACTGTTAAGCAGTAGTAAAAAGGTACTGAATGTAAGTGTGACTAGTTACGTTTTATATTTTATCTAATACGTACATTTGAGATAAAAAAATCTTCAGAAGAGTAACTTAAATAATTTACTCTTTCATAATACATAACCATCCCTTTGGAACTGAAGTACTTCAAAAAATCTGTTAAAAACAATTGAATTACAGTAGTCTTTATTATGTGGTCATCAGGTACTGTGACTACAGTTAGTAGTTTCTGAGCAATCTTGATGTTCATGTTTGTAAATATAAAAATAACACGTTGGTGTTATGGTTTTGGAAACTTTTTTTGGAACTACTTTTTACAGATAAATGCTAAGACACCCTAAAAAATTCATTTTTTAACTTTGGGATTTTACAAATAAAGCTTTTCGGTCATTGTAATTTTCTTGGATGAAACAGATGGCTTATGTAATGCTTTTGTTGATCATCTTATACATTTAACTCAAGTTGCAATTATTTTGTTTTTACGGTGTTTGCTCAATGAACTTGATTTTTAATATTTCTTCATTATTGTCATTCAAGTTAATTGTATTTCTAAGATGTAACACAGGTTTATGTGCATGAATTATTTAATGTCATGTATTTTGATGAAATAAGTTAATTAAAATAATAACTTCATTATTTCATAGTACACCTTTTTCAATTTTTAACTATGGAGTTTGTCTCAAAGTTCCAATAAAACATTTTCAAATCTTAACCACAACTTGACATCATTTTCTTACAGGTTGTGTTCAGCTAGTTAGTATAAGAATAACTATTCTTTGAGAAACAGTTTGAATTTAGTAGTTAGACATATTAATTTAATTTTTTTATTCATTCTAATAAATAAAATTGTGAAGTGAGTTAAATAAATATAAGTGAAACATATTTCATGAATCAAAGTTAGTCAAACAGTTTTATGGAAAGTTCTTACATAAATCCGAGTTGTTTGCCTGTTATTGACTTCAGATAATGGAAAAAAAAGTGAAAGTAATTAACATAGAAAATTTGATATAGTGTGTAATTATTAACAAGTTTACTTTACAGACGAGATGATTAAGTATTTAATATTTGCATAATATGCTTACAATATTCAGTTTTATTTGCTTGAACCAAAAATATTTTAACAAAAACAACTGTTAAAATTAGGGCAGAAAATGTAAACCAGATTGAAATTTTATGAAAATTCAAGCAGATAAAAATAGAAATGAAATAATATTGTGATAAACATATTTTTTTATGATATGTATACATTACCAAAAGAAGTTAACAATATTTTTCAGTTTTATAAGTATTTCTGCTTCAACATTTTATTTTTTTCAGGTTAAAGGAGTTAAGACAAATAATTATGAGAGACCACAACAGTGTGTGTCACCAATTGGCATCTTTGCTGAATTTACCGAATTAGTACAAAAGTTTGTGGAGGATGCTACAACATCAAATGATCAAATTAGAAACTGTGTAGCTGATCTTGGCTCTTCAAAACTCTTAAAGAGTCTAGCAAAGTATGGACATGTAAAATTACTGTAAATGATTAGTGTAAAGTCTTTCCAAATTCTTTTTGGAAGACAAAAACATTAGTTGGATATATTTTATTGATTAAACAATTCTAATAATCATTTTAATATAGGATGCTATGACAGCAGTCAACTATATATCTGTTATTTCTTTTATTCACTGTCATTTTCTTTATTCATACTAGTGAACAAAACCCAGATATTACTTTTTTTGAAAGAAGAACCAAAATATATTATTAATATTTGAATATGCTTTAAATTTTATCTTAAACAGTTCAATTAGTTTAAGTGACAAAAGGTTATGAACAAAATTTTAAGTACAAATATTTACATGAAATATATTTGACCACAAAATTTGATTACTACTGATTACCAGTTGTAGTAGAACTTGTTTATAGAGGCAAAAGTTATTCTAAAGGTAAATTGTGGTCAAGCTACTAAAAATGTGAAATAAAGGCATCTCTCATGGGAATTAATTTTAAGAAGTTTATTATTCAAATCCACAATTAGTTATAAGTAGTTAATTCCATATATAACATTTTATAAACTCATTCACTTTATATTCTATAATTTTGTTGAAGAAATTTAGATTAAGTATTTCTTGTTAGGTATGGAGACTTCATGACAAGTTTATCTGTATTAATGACTGAAATGATGTCCAAAAACAATTCAGCTGTCAGTACAGGTCAATTTTTGGATATCTGGGATACTATTAAGGAGTTCTTGAAATTTCAACTTCCAGGTAAAAAATATTTTTTCACTCAGATATCAGTTTAAAAGTAGAGAAGTAATTTTTCATATTTGGCTTTCAAAAGGGTTATTATTTTTTTCAAGAATATTTTATAAAATTTTAGAGATAAGGTTTTGAACAACTGTTTAACATAAACATTAAGGCCAACAATGTACTTGTTGGTTCATCTAGGCCATCCCATCCACTAAACTAAACTTTAAAGAAACTTCAGTGTCATCCCTCATCATTCAAATATTTATCACATTTACCCTTAAGCTCCCTTAAAATTACTGCCTCCGCTACATCTGAAGGTAATCCATTCCAAAGGCCAACCACCCTGTTAGAAAGATAAATTTGTATTAGCTGAAGACAGTTCCTACCCTGAAAAATTTATATCTTTGCCCTTATTCCTACCATTCTCTCCATAATGTATGAAGAAAGAGGATGAATCAGTCCCTTTAACAACCTTATACATCTCATTCAGGTCCATTCTAACTTTCCTTTTTCAAGAGAAAACAATCTCTGATTTTAATCTATCCTCATATGACAACCTTTCCATACCAGGTATCATCCACCCTCTAAACTCTTTTCAATAAATTTGCCCTTCCTAAGGTAAGAAGCCCAAGACTGAGCACAGTACTCCAAAAAAGCCTAAACAAGAACCTATAAAGTGAAATTATAACCTCTTTAGTATTTAGTACTTAGTATTTCTTTACATACAACCTAAAACTTTATTTGTCCTACCACTAGCAACAACACACTGCTTTGATGGTTTAAGAAAGTGATTAACCATAACATTAAGATATTTTTCTTCCATAACACTGTTACCATTATTCCCATAAAAAAAGGTACACTTATGATTCAAATAGTTGTATCCCATAAGCATTACCTTACATTTATTACAATTAAAAGCTATCTGACAATTATTCACAACTCATTAAATAATCCAAATCCTTTTATAAAACAGCAGCATCCTCAGATAATTCTTGCTTTTGGAATTTGTAACCAAAATATCATTATTTTTGATCATCATATGCAGCAAAACATCAAACCTAATAGAGCAATGATCACTTGCATCCAGATGTTTTCTAATCTTCACCCTATCAAGTCATTTCTTTATTAGAAGATAACAATAAATCTAAAAAAGCCTAATTCCTAACAGGTTCCCTGACCAATTGGTGAAGAAAACCATCCTGAACAATTTTGAAATCCTGTCTCCCTTATAGTTTAACTTTATATTTTTCAATTTATATGCCTGAAATTAAAAATTCTCCATAATTATAACCTTATTCACAACTCAAGTCTTTATCCTATTATAGGGTTTCCCATATTTTTCATCACCCCTTTGCAACCACCATAACTTACAAGCTGTAAACTCTTAACACCTACACTACTCTTAACCATTGTAATCTAGAAGTAAATAATTACACTAAATACAAGTAACTTATTGGCAACAATGTTAAACCTAATGTTTGAGAATTAAATAATCTATACTATTTTATCTCAACTTTATCCTTTCACCAAAGTAATTAAGTTTTGACTTTACACTGCAGTTTGCCATTTATTCTTGACATCAGTTCAAAAATAATTAACACTTGGAGAAAAGTTGCCATTAAACTTAAAGTTCCTGTTGACTTCAAATTCACCCCAAAACCTGGCCCTAAACTAAAATCATTATTATATAAAAATTACATAGAATCACACAATGCTTACATTATTTATAAAATAAAATGTAATAGCTGTCCAGAATTTTACATCAGAGAAACCAGAGATTCATTCGCAGCCTAGTATAGGTATCTTGGTACCTTGGGGTGTTGGATTAGGGTGGGCTGTTTTGTTCAATTAAGATGGCTTTATTCTGCATTTATTGATGTTTGGTTCTTTGTTTAAAATTACGGTGTTTTGTATAGATATACTGTGTTGTTTTTAAGTTTCAATGGTGGTAACATGAGAGGATTTCTTATTATATTCAGTAAATCTGGTTTCCATTTTTTATTCTTTCTTTCTTTCTTTCTTCTTCGTCTTCTTCTCTGATGTAAAGTTCTGGACAGTTATTGCATTTTGTTCCACACAATATATACATACATACATATATATTCATGTGTCTCTGTAAACTACTTGTACCTGAGAATGACATAATCTTGTCGAAATATTGTACATTTATAATAGTTTTCTTCATTACCCAGTCAAGCCATCTCCAAACTTTTATTTTCTAATACTTTGCTTCCACGTCATCAAAATTAAAAGGCCGGTTAATTTACTTGAAGTTCTTGAAAATTTGCAAGGTGAAAATATTTCATTGAGTGTTAAGACAAACATGTATTTAATTTTTATACAGTGTTTACAGAGGTTTCCACTTTTATCAAGAATCTTCCTGAACTTGAGAAACTTTTTGGTGCTGAACTTGGTAATAGAAGCTCAGAAATAGCATTGGCATTCAGCAAGTCTTTGATTAATTGGAGTCTGGTAAGACAGGATTTAGAATGATGCTTCAAATTCATAAAATGTTATTTGTCTATTCTTTTTCTTATTTTAAGCTAAAAAAACTAAAACTGTGATAAAGAGTACTTTACATTATATTTTTAGTTTAGAGTTTAGAATATTTTTTTTTGGAATGTTAGATTTTAATGTCATATCTAGAGACTTTTTAAGATAACATTTAGTATGATAATGTATTTATTATCCATATTTAGTTTTAGTAACTGATGAAACATTTTAAAAACTAGGGTTTGTATGTTTCATTATGATACTGGTGAATTTATTCAAAGGTAATAAATCCAGTTTGATTTATTAATTTTAACAAAGGGACAATCTTTTTCATTTACAAGCTGTTTTTTGATTGAAGTAATACAAATTTTCTTATACAGTGAGATGATAAATGTGTTAAGTGTGTAAACTGTGATAACCATTAGTTATTTCATGTATGTGTTAGAAAAAATAAAAATAAAAAATGAACAAAATTTTCAGTGTAACATTAACAAAGCTTTTATTAGTGACAGAGGCATGTTTTGTAGTATTAAAGATAACTAAAAGTATTACACTGTTTTTTGTTTTTTAAATTTTTCATTTCAGCTTGCAAAATACAACTTTTCTTTGCCCACTATCAATAAATTTGTTTGTAAAAGAGAAAATCTAACTGGTATTCTGGTGACTTACTCTGAAGCAAACGTTTCTTCTGAAGACATAAGAAAAGCTTTGTGTGAGAAGGGAGCTCTAAAATCTTTTTTGGAAGTTTTGGACATTCCACAGATCCTCAAAAAGGTTAGTTTGTCTACCATTGTGGTATGAAAATTTCCATGCATTTTATACCTTCTTGTATTGATATAGTATTCTTCTAAATTTATCAGTTATTCTGTATATGTGGAGTTTTCACATAACATATGGTCAAGAAATCATTAAGATGATTTCATTCTAGATACTTTTTTTCCTTCATCATTCTCTGGAGATTACAAGTGCACTTCACTTTGGAGGTTTAGCTGTAATGCTGTACATTATGCCAGAATATAGACAGCTGTGTCCTTCAGTGGTAGTTGAGGTGTAATCTTGAGGTTATTTTAAAACTTCTCTTATGTTTCATTGGTATTTACCAACAATGACATAGGCAGTAGCCTCATCTTGAGAATATTGTATTGTATAATTTAGTATACAATACTATGATCTCTTAGTTAGCTCCCTATCTAGTTCCAAATTTCATAAGTAAAGTTGAAAATCCTTTCCTTGTATATAGTAATACTCTCTTAAAGTTTACTCTGTAATTTATATTGATTAATTTAAACATTTTGTAGTATTAGTGCTTCTACTTTTTTTTACTTTGTTTCAGTTTCGCACTTAAATTTTTTTTCTGTAACATGTTATATGTTGTTATGATGCTCGATTTCATTATGCAATATCTATGAGTTTGAAATTTGTATAAAATAAGAGATTTACCTTGTAATTATCTTTGTTTCCTATAGTTGCCAGAAATCCAAAATAGGCAAACACTTGATGCTGATTGGCTTGAAAGATTCACCATTAACTCTCAAGCCATATTGAAGCACCTTTTGGATCTTGCAGTAGTCGGTGGTAAAGCTGTTTCTGATTTAACTTCAGGGTTGACTTTTGATCTTTTGTCCTCAGTTGTGAGTTTAATCAGAGAGGACACTGTAGAACAGCTGTTCAGCAGGTTAGACTGATTTTAGGTTTTGTTTTTGTGGATGATTGATAAACCTGTTTTATGTCTTTGTTATAATTGTTCTTTTATTTGGCAAAATAATATTCAATATTGGCAGTTTTGTCTCAATTTGATTTTTTAAAAACTTGCATCTCTGGGAATCTAGTTTTTTGTTGTTGTACATTTAAGTTTATCTTTAAAATCGTCTTCATATTGTAAATGATTTGAGATGAAAGACTTGTGTTTTGTGTAATTATATTTGATAGATTAAAATAATGAGTCTAGATTACTTAAAAACCAAACATTTTAGGCACACTGTATACTCTAATTTCTCATTTCAAGCTGTGGAGCCCCATTTAAACTTTCCTATTTTTCCATAACTTATAAAGTGAAATAGGTTTTTCATTACAGAAAAAAATTGTCAGTTGAATATGAAGTTTTGTATAAAGTTACCGTATTCTGATATAATGATGAAAAAAAGTTATTTGACCTTTACTCAACAAACATGAAATGCATATATTTCTGTATTTTTATCTGAGAATTAAGTGTTGTATTTAATTGCACAGATCTTGAAATTCTTGAAAATAATCTCTAAAAGTTTCAGTTCTAGAAATCATGGAAGAATGTCTGTTTTTAAGTTGTGGTTTTAGAAAAGATCCTGAAATTTCACTTTATATAAAAATAATCCTCCAAAAATAATTGGTTTAATTAATAAAATTAAACAAATAATTCTTATTTATCAGAATTGGGTTTGTTTATACTTCATGTGAACCTCATGCTTCAAGGAACCCTAAGACTGTTGCAGTTTGATTAACAAAAATGTGTGGATACATGGCAAGATTCAAGAGTCTTGGAAAATCCTAGAATTCTCTTTTGTAAAGCCTGTATAAAAAATTGTATAATTATAATAATAACAATAGAGC